CTCCTCTCAGTGGCAGACAGAATGAGAACCCCGTTTTCAAGAGTGGTTATTTTTCATTTTGGTATTTGTGACTGAGTTTCCAGGCTGATTACTGTTGAGACAAAGTAAAGTGCACAAAAGCATGCAACATCCATTCAGCAGCCCTGAAAGGAGCATATTCTTGAATATCAGAGCAATGCTACAGTAAATTGCCTCTTTATTTATATAACAGAGCATACAGAGGAGATAACCGCAGAGCTAATGAGACTCTGCATATATATGGGTTACATTAGTAATGAGAAACAGCTCCACTAATTAACTCTGCTCCCTAATGAAATTAAATTCATGCTGTAAAAGACTTTTACAATAAAGTCAATACAAACCCGAAGTATATCAGTTTCTAACTCTTTCATTATGGCAGAATGACATAAAAAATATCATGGTTTTATATTGGCATGGGACAGTAAGCATTGTTGGTAGGCTGAGCTTGTTCCAGTTTCCATAAAAAAACCCAATAGCTTCCTTTCCTCATCCTTTCCTTTCCTGCACACATGTAGACTGGTAAATCAGTGAACTATTATTTCTCAGTTTTTAAGATAATTTCTGAAAAAAACTTGATACATAAGTTTGCCCAGGTAAATTCATTAAAAGCAAGATAAACTCAAATTATAAGCTTGAATTTTCTTCCCAAGTGATGAGCTGAATTCTTAGCAAACTTCACAAAGCATATTCCCACTGAGTGGTCCTATGAATTATCATCTGCCTGACACTTGCTGAACATCTCCTTACTATGCTGTTTGGCTGCTCTGCTAGTTCTCTCCTTCTACAGTATCCTGGTTTTCCATGCTCAAAGCTGAGCCGAGACCACAAATACTTTAGTTCTTGCACTACCCGAATAATGAATGATGTTCCACCATGATCCTGCAATATAAAAAGGCCGTCAAAAGTGAAAGAGATGTCAAGAAGCTGTACGACCACTTCAGCTGCCTTTTTTTTGTTGTTGTAAGTGGATGGAGAACAAAAAATTTTGTGATGAGCTCCTAGTGCATCATTATCCACTTCAAGCTGCCCAGAAACATGGACTGCATGTTGACAGTCAATTTACCCTATACTAAGTTCTCCTTGTTCAGAACAGACCAGTCAGAAAACCATTCCAAGTAGTGCCTTCTCTTTCCTTGGCACACTACATTTGAAGTGCTCAACAGAATCTCTAGTGATGTTTGCACACTTAGACAACAAGTGTTTCATGGCACAGTCGTGGCCGCCACAGCCGTGTGTGCTTTTATGATTATATTGTACACATCCTTGATGCACACATAAAGGAGACTCCTCTTCTGTTTGCCTGCTCTCAATCAACTTCTCAGTGTGTCCACATGTAGAATTTCATATCTGAAATGAGGCACATAGTAAGCAGTTTATTAGAAATAATTCTGTATATGTAAATGGGAAAAGCACTGATATGTACATTTAGACTTAAAAAGCCAGAGACAGTGTGTTCTCCATACTTACTTTCTAAGCAGATAGTATTCATGGCTCAACCTTGTCTTGGGATTGTCTTCCTTGTCCTTATTCCAGCAATAGTTGCACAATATTCTCTCTTCAGGATTACATATGTGGAGCATTGCATATTCTTTTTGTACAGTTGTTCTCTAAATTTAAGCTGAAAATCCTGGGGCAACTTCAGGAATGATTACTCAGCAATTAGAGAGAAATCTTATTCAACTCCCTCTGATCATGTACAACTACATTTGCACCAATTTCTGACATACATTACAGCCATATTATGAAACCAAACATTTTGCAAAAAGAATAAAATTTTCAATCATTTCTCAGAATGACTTCCAGTTATTTTGCAAAATGATAGAAAACAGTAGGCATGCATTATGCAAAATGTCCAACCTCTAGCTTTTTGAACTCGTTGGTTTAAAAGATAACAGAAAGAACTCTTTTCATTTTATTTCCCAGACTATTTAAAACTCCACAGTATATTACTGAGCACACTGTATATTACATTCTCAAAAATAAAGACTCTTCCGAGGACAACTCCGTAAAATTTACAGGGGTTTTAAATTTTTTGTTCCTTGGATTGATATTTGACCTGACCTTCCTCTATCAATACCAGAACAATAGTGATAAAAGGTAATGTATTATGAAGTGCTGGAAACCAGTAGGTATTTCAGGTGATCAGGATGACCAAGCAAAGGATGTGGTCCAGGGGTGTAATAAAATTACCATTATTTTCTGAAATACCTAAACCCAGTCATATTATAGTAGCTGAAACTGTCATTTCATGAAAGAACTGAAAATTGCCAAGATTTTTTTTTTTTTTTTTTTTTTTTTAATAGCCACTTTCACAGATTCATGATATTATATACAGGTTGTCTGCTGTTCAGGTTTAAACTTCTGAAGGCCAGTTCCCTGTAAAGACGGTTTTATTCTTGCAAGCTGAATTTAACTTATATACTGCTTTTCCCTATGTGAAACTTTGTTTTGTGATGCTATTTCTAGTATACATTTCATGTCTTGAGAGGATTCTCATTCAGCTGCTGATTCTGTAGCAGAGGACTGGTACTGTGGTCTGTCTCTATATATGTGAAATTTGTGTTTCTCTCCATGAAGCCTCCAGACACGCGAGACTCTCCTCTCCAATGGTATGATTGAAGGTTGTCCACCATGTTTTCCCATTAACACAGACACAACCTGCCCTTTATAATTTTCTCTCGCATTTTTGTATTTATTTTATTAGTGAAGTCTCTGTGAGCTCTCACTCCACTGGGGAAAAGTACTGGGAAGACAAAGTCCTATGTGCAATTCTTACATGCTGTTGTTAGAGATCGTGGTGCCACCACTCTGTTGGGGTATGCCTCCCCCCTCAACCATGGGCTGGTTGTTGTGTTTCTCCATGCTGCAGGACTCTAAAGAAGATCAGGGGCTATGAGCTCTTTTCCATGAGTCTTTCCCTTAGCATGTGTTCCCTGTCGAGCACAAATCAGGGTTTTGCTTCCTACAGGTTCAGATGAGGCATTTGAGGATGGAATCAAATTTCTCTGCCAATGTCTGTCTCGCCTGTATTGACGGCATTGGGCATGTGTCCCTTCCTGACTATGACCCTGCTGTGGGTGAGGTTGCCTCTGGATTTGGTAACTGAGCCACCAGCTGGTTGTGCATTACCCTCCCCAGCTATGGCTCTGGCACCATTGCTATTAGAAAGACCTGAGTCATGTGAGCCTACTTGTCTGAAGTTCAACAGAGGAAAATGCACAGTCCTGCACCTGGGGAAAAAAGAGGGAAGTTTCTGGTTGAGGGTGAAAGCAGCCAGATGGCATGTCTGCTGCCTCACCAGAGAAAAGAGGACTATGTATTACTTATAAGTAGCCTCCAGGGAATGAGCACTGTATATTATCTTCATTGGTATTTCTCTATTCAGCAAAAAAATTTGGTTTATTAAGCAGCTGTTCGCAAGTGAGGAAAACTACTTCACTGTGTGTCAGAAAGTTTAGTTTGATTTTCTGAAATTTTTGTCTGGGAAGTCAAGCCTGGTGTTTTATTAATGGCCCCTTGACTTTTGAAGCCAGCCCTTGTTTCCAATCAAGTCTTAGCCATAGGGTTTACTTATACTGAAAATGCACGCCAAGTCCTATTTCTCTGAAAACAGCAGAAATGACTGACTTTACGAGTCAGAAATGTCCAATTCTGCAATTCTTTTGAGGCTTTTGTTCAGAAACTGCTACCTCTTCTGCTCTCAGGGTTTTTCATGCCAATCTCTCTCTATCCCTGGAGAAAGCATAAAGTGCCTGAAACCCCTAAACCCCCTTTCTTGGCCTGCAGCTATGGAGGTACCTTCTTCCCCAACCAGTACTTCTAGTCTAAGGCACCCTGGTTATTGGGAATACATGGAAATGGAAATGTCAGGTGACATAGCCTGTGGAAAACTGCCTGGAAAGAAAAGATCAGTATCCTAAAGGGAGTTAGACAAGTAGGATTACAGTCTGATAAAAACCTCAAGTCAGGATTGCTGCAAAATGCAGTCTTTGCTGCATTTGTCCTTGCCTTGATTTGATTTGATTTGATTTTCCATGATTCTCTGGTGAACTAGAGAGGGAACTGATGCAGCTGAAAGACATTCAGGAGGCAAATTCCAGCCATGTGGAAAGAGTGATGCAGGAGTGGGAACAAGGAGTGGCTGAGGGCAAGTTTGCTCCCATCAGTGAGAGTGCCACTTTTTTAGCAACTTTAAAGGATTAAATAAATAACTTGAGATGAAGGCCAGAGACACAGTCACCTTGCCTTGTTGCTGTGTGGCAGAAGTATGCTGATAGTCTGCTCTCTTCTCCTCATTCCCAGTCCTGTTCTTCAAATCTTATCCCCTCATTCTGTAGTCGTGTGTGATCACGATTATTTCCTAGTTTAGTACTATCCTCTGTCATCCAGTTAGGGAAAAAAAAGAGTCACCTTCATGATTGTGGTGCCTCTGACCAAGCAGATGAAGGTAACTGGAGATTCCCCTTCTTCTATAGTGGTCAACTCCTGGCACAGTTAAAGGAGTTCATTGTCTCAGAGCAGGGGAAGGCTTTCTCTGCCAAACACTGACTCTCACAAAGCAAGACAAGTGGTAGACATAAAGTTTGCATAGACAGTTCCATAAAAAGCATGACTTGCTGCTGGCTAACATCACCAACTTAAATAATAGAATTATTGGACCCCCTAATTTGCTTGTTATCATGCTGAGTTAGTATTAACATCATTAGCAATAAATTTTATTAGGGGGAAAGAAGGCGCTACTATTTTTTTGTGATGCTATGATGCAGGCTACTGTGAAAGTTTGCATTTTTACAGGAATTAAATTGTGATTTTAATACATGGTTGAACAAGATTTTTTTGTCTCTATAGCTGGGAGGTACTGTTTTTAAAATCACGTTTTATGTTTCATTCCAAATGCAGATATAAAATACTTCTAATTACTTGTATAATTTATGTGCATTTTTGTAGGAGGGACTTTACTTTTTAAGCACAGTCATTTTGTTTGTTAATAACTTTATTATAGTAGAAGGTTATAATATAATGTTACAAAGCTATACAGTGCCTACAGAATGCATGCAAGGCATTTTCTTTAACCAACCACGTTGCTAGGGGAGGAAACAAAAATGTTATGCCAATTTCCATCCTTTTCCACCACAAGGAGAATATTATTTATTTGTGTAGCTTTAAAACAAATTTGTATCATAGCAGTTTATTGCTTTCTTAATGACACACAGTTAACTAATAGTGAGCTACACACCCAAGTTGATTCTCTCCATGTTTTGAAAGTAGCTCCCCAACTACTGTTGAATCTGGCTGGTAGCTGTCATCCTTTTTACTGTGATCCTTTGGGCACCAAAGACTTCTTGGTCAGATTTTTCTCAGATACACACACACTGCAAGCTCTAACATTTCTTTCTGTACAGATGTGGTCCAGGCTGTCTGCAAAGGGTGAGCCATGAGAGCTTCCCAACATCTCACTTGTGTTATGAACTTCAGTGATTTCCACCTTTTGGTGTTGTATAGCATGACTCATACTCTGACCTGAAAATACCTTTTTATGATCAAACATCTTGATATATACAAAGGACTTTGAAGCAAAAAGGAAGGAAGACAAGGTAGGAAGACTGCAGAAGAGATGGGATCCCATAAAAGTAACAATCTTGGTGGGACCAAAAGCAATGAACGCAGCAATGAGATTGCACAGGTACAACAACATCAACCAATTGTTATTTTATTGCTGTCTGATGTGCAAGAAATGTTGAAGGTGAAGCAGAAAGGAATGGAAAGATTCACAAGAGTGAAAAGGTGGATTTCAACAGCATCATGAGGAGAGACTCTCATGGAAGTTGATCAGCTGATAACCTCTAATTAGTTAAATGATTAAATTATTATCCCACTAATTCTAGGCGAAAAAAATGTGACCTTATGCAGATGGCAAGAAAAATAAAGATATAAGAAACATAAAGAATATAAATCTCAGCTCCTCTAATGCAAGCCATTGATGTCTTGCATTAGATGAGTTGAGATTCATATTCTTTTTTAGGGATAGGTATAAAGCAGCTGAGCTATAAAAGCTGAATGCCTTTCATAGAAACATTTTACCAAAATTTTAATCTTTTTTAGTGGAATTTATTTCTGTCTTCAGGCACAGCAACTGGCAATGTCTCACTGAGATATAATATGCTTTTCAGCTACACTAGGGCTATTAGCTTTTTCCATCCCTCCAATCCAAGCAGCAATATTTTCATTCCTTCCATCCATACAGGGTACAAAATTTATAGAACTGCTTCCAAGCTAAAGACACTGTGAGTAACTACTTATATACTTCATAAATGCACAAAATCAACATAAGATTTACAAAAAGCCATTGCTACCTTGGATGCCTAAGATATTTGTCTTTTTAAGAGAAGACAAATTCTGTCTGAATGATCTAAAATTTCGTCCTGACTGTAAAATATTACTTTTAACTGAAAAATTTTGTGAATGATAATACAGGCTTTTGTTTGAACTTGCAATGTCCATTTCAGTAATAGTGTATAATTTTTTTGACATATATTCATAATGTGAGAAAGATAAAATTAATTTCTGCTGCAGTGATACCATCTCAAAAAGTGATTTTGAGAAAATATTTTAAGAAATAACTATCTATCACTGATTTAGTTTTTTAAATAGGTGGTTTAATAGTTCAATTCACTTAGAAAGTTACACTTAACAGTAAAGAAACAGACCTGCTCAGGAAGAACAATGTCTTCCCTGATATTTTATGAGAGCTTATGGGAAATAAATATGAAATGTATGGGAAATTATATAGATATTTACATTTCAATAATCTGTACCTTAGTCCATATAAACTAGCTTCCTTATTTGTGTTTCTGCATCACAGTTATCAAGTCTCCCCCTAGTGCCTTTGACTTCACAAATTTTGATGTAAAAACAGTAAGACAGAAGAGCCATGAACTTTCTTCCCTTTTCTCCAGGTCCATCCACAGATCACTGGGTAGCACCATGAGGAAATCGCTGAAGTCACCTTCCTGTTTACTAGCTGAGACCCTGGAGGCCGTTTGTTCTATTACTCCAGGAAGCTGATGTGCAAAGCCCTGTGCGAGCATGTTGCACCATTTCCAGAGCACACCCTCAACTTGCTGAGGAGTGAGTTTGCTGTGTCTGTCCATCACTGTATCACTGTCCTATCCCAGGTCCTGCACATGCTGCAGGACCTGCAGGACACTGCAGGAGGCTGATGCTAGCAGCAAGGCAACCTTCTGTGGAGCATCCCCACATTTTGCTTGAAGAAGCGGCTTCCACTCAGCACGAATGACAGCAGGTCCAGACAGCTCAGGGCAGTCAGGCTCAAAAAAACCTCATTGTAGCTTTCTAACTGGTCAAAATCACTCTGTATGTAGTAGGCCCTGAACAGGTGATAGGGAAGGAACCAAATTATGATGATCCAGATGAAAATCAGGTTTTTCACCTGGGCCCAGAATTCTTGATGTGAACAGAGAGAGGTGGAAAATTTTCTCACCACTTTTACCAGGATAAAAATCTGCAAGCTCAAGAGGACACAAGAAATGAGGGCAACAGCTACAATTACGGTGTAGTTCAGGGCTTTCACACTCTCATGCTGTAGTTCTTTGTGGAACTTGAAGCATGTTGTATTATTGTATAAGCCTGAGCGTCCATACTCGAAGTAGAAGAGCGGCACCACAAAGACCATGACGAAGACCCACACGGCAGCGCTCGCCCCAATGGCGTGCAGCTTCCTGTAAAACTCCACCTTGTCCCTCCACTGAAAGAAGATGAGCCACCGGATCACCAGCGTGATCACATAAAATATGAAGGTCAGGTACATGTGGATGTGCACCATGGCACTCACCATTTTGCAAAATGGCATGTCAAATACCCACTTCTTTTTGACATAATAGTGGAGGCGGAAGGGCACCGTGAAAAGGAGGAGGCTGTGCACAACGACCAGGTTAATGACGGCAGTCGTGGTCACAGACAGAGTGTTCATCTTGACGAGCACGAAGGACATGGCGATGGACCCAATTCCACCTCCAGCAAAGGCAACCGAGTAGACAGTGACCAGAATGGCACTCATGGTGCTGGTGTGAATGAAGGTGGAAGAGGAGTCATTGCTGTTCCTGGTCCCTTCAGTCATGTTCCCGAAATCTTCCTGGTACATATTCTGGAAATGAAAGAATATGGAAAGACTAAGATAAGGTAGGAATGAGATGGCCTACCTAAAAAGCCAGGAAGACTTCCCACCTGGCTCTTGTCCAAGGAATAATCCTGAAATCTCACAGATGACATCAGTAACTGTAACTGTATTTTATCCAAAATCCTCCAGCCTAAGGGAAAATGGATGAGAAGGCTGGGCAGAGAACTTCTTTAGTCCTTATGACATTTCCAGCTATAGTCCTAAAGACATGCATGAATCAATAATATATGGGGAGAAATGATCCTTAGAGAAACTACCTCATTGTGATGATTTTGTGCTGTGTTATTTTTTCTCCTCTCTTCTGAGCATCTTCATGCTTTTACAGTGAAGATCAGAGATATTGTTTTAATTCTGCTACTCATTCATCCATTTATTTATTTGCAACACAAAACTGTCCTTCCCAGGGCCAGATAACAACCATATGTTGTTCTATCTAAGATACAAATTCTGTTTGTTACTGAGAGCTGAGTTTTGAACACATTACAGTCAACTTCTTCTCCATGGACAGTTTCTCTCAGCAAGGGATTAAACACCATGGATACCCAGACTTCATGGAAATTCTGCTTAGTTCCAGCCAGGCCAAGAAGCGTGGGCAGCACTGTCCTGATTCTCAGGGCCATTTCAAATCTTACATGTAGTAACTGGGTGTTACGAAATGGGCTGCTAAAAAACATTAGGAAAGGACATCCTGGGTGAGTGTAAATCATGATGTCTGACCCATGCAGAACCTAGATGCAAGTTAATAGTAAGTTTGAAAAGTATGCTATATGTAAAGTAGGAAAAGTATGCTATAAATTGTTAATATACTGCAGTCTAAAAGAGAGATTAGAAATAATTCTTATAAATCTAAATGCAGCTCCTGTTGGATTTTAAGTACTAGAAGATCATATAGGAGAGGAAGAGTTCAGGTAGGGTGTTACCTTGAAGCATATTTTTATTTGTAAAAATGTTCAGGGGATGTTTACATTACGGTTACAGAAAAGAAGCAGGGAAAACTGAATGGTCTTGGACTCTGTACTATCACAGTTATACTGCTACGTCTGCCTGAACTGTGATTTAAAACTGACTCTGGTAAGTCATCCATTTTACCAGTGAATCTCACAACACAACAAGGAGTTCTATCCAGACTTTTTGAGATTTTTCATTTAATACTCAAATGCTTTTCACCTCAGAAAGCAGTTCCTCAATCTCTTTGTATGAGTGATGCTTCAGCTTTATTTTCATTTTTTTTTGGTAGCATGAACTGCCAAAAGTTGGGAGATGAAAAAGTTTTTTACCAGTCCACTCATTTTATGGAAAAGAGGAAATGCCTATAACAGTTTTATGAACTGTTTTTGTTCATAGTGGGGAATGAATATCTCTTATGCACCTCAGGTGTTTTGTGTTCTTTCTTAGCAATATTTCTAAGCACTTACCCTCACAGTAATAAAGATCTCTTGCTACATTGAAAAGTTATTCTCTAGCTATCCCAATGCATCTAAGACTCCAGATATCTTATTATAATCAGTACAAATATAAGTGCCATATCTCAATCTGATGCAATGATTGCTCGCATTACTGACCTTTTGTATTTCATCTTGCATTTCAGAGTTATGTGGACAATTAAGAAAATTACAATGGGTTGCAGTGAAGGAGCTTTTTATTGAAGTCACTGCAGATTGGCACATCGCAGCTCTTGCATCAGAAGTGGTGCAAGTTCCTTCCACTCTGTTCTCATTTCTGAGTACTCCATCTCACAACCATGCAAGTCAGAAGGGATTAGCAAGAGCTCTTCATCAGTTTCTCCAAATTGTTAAACTTCATTTTGAAAAGATGTCTCTAAAAAGAGGTGTTATCACACTGTTTTGATTTTAAATGCATATTTCAAGTTTAAAACTTTTTAAAGTGTCACAGAGGGAAAGGCAACACACTGGAAATGTGACTTGGTGTGAGCAGACCCAGCAGCAAAGCTGCACTTGGAGAGGAAGAACTTCTTGTTGTCACCCTCCAGAGGCCAGCAGTGAAACCTGAACTGAAGGCAGTAAGAACAGATAGGCAGAAGTCAGATAACTGATATTTTACTTTGACATTCCAGTGCAGGGGACAAGAGACCTATTTCTGTCTGCAAATAGGCAACTGAGTCCATGAAATGAAGGTTTCTGCAGAATTCTGCAGTCTTTGTAAAATCTCTGCATAGTAAGAATCTGCAGGAGATGTAATTTTCATTAATCTTCAAAAAACAAAAACAAAAACAAAAACAAAAACAAACTACTAGCAGCTGTGATAGGAGATTATCAGCTCCCCAGTAGCACAGACACCCCACTGAAATATCATTGCATGATGAATACAGAGTGTAACATAACACAGGGCATGTTTCACAGAGGAAATGCTGCTTTCTGGCGAAGTGAGGTTTCCTATCACACTGACATTCACAAAGCTATAACCTACTGACCTGAAATGCAACTTACAAGTCCTTTTGCCAGAATTTAGCAGGAGGTCCATGGAAAAAGAATTAATGTGGACCTCACATGACACAGCTGTTCTTGTTTCTGTGCCTTTCCACCGCCTTTAGTAACTGCCAGTTCAGTGATATTGCTCAAGTCTTGGAGCCAGGTTTGATTTTCCTCAGTGTTAAACCTCTCATGACTTGGCTGAACTTCTGCTGGACATGAACCTTGACCCACAAGGCAATGGTGGGCACCAGTTCATTTGGGTGCCACAACAGCTGCTGGTGCCAAGGGCTGCAGGACAATTGCAAAAATAGTTGGTTTAGTCTAAAAAAGGGGGTAGGTTGCCAACAGGCCAGAAACTAGTTTCTTTCAGAAATATGATCAGCAAAAAGATTCTTGTGCATTCAAGATTTGTCAGCTGTCAGTGTGGATAATGCCATCACACTCATTTTATGTGACTGTCTTTGCAGAACAGTCTGTAAGATTTCCCTGGACTGTTCTCTTCAGGACAGAAAAAGTCATAGTGCTCAGTCCCTGTCTGTGTTCAAAGCCAAGTTGGATGGGGATCTGAGCAACCTCCTTGAGTGCAACATGTCCCTTCCCATAGCAGGGCTGTTGGAACTAGATGATCTTGAAGGCCTCTTTCATCCAAAATTTTTGTGTGATTTATGAAAACAATTTAATCTCTGTCAAAATTTTCCAGGTAAGAAATATTCATTTCAATCTTCAGGAACTTGTTTCTATTTTATCTTACTGTTATCTATCTTACTATTTAAAAAAGAAAAAAATGCAAGAAAGAAGAAAAGATTAACCATACTTCTGGACAGAATTTGTACAACCTCATCTTCCAGGCATTTCATGTACTTCTGTCTCTGTCTTCAGATTTAAAAACCTTTTGTCAAATTTTGCCTTCCCCTGTAGATACCGGATATGAGACAGAAGAGGCTTATTCTCCCTTGATCACAGCCATACCTGTGGCTCCTCAGTGAACTGCTATTACACTTGTACTTGGCTCTTAGATGAACAACTTCGCATTTGGAAGGGGTAAAATGCTCATTCTACTTTGTGTCTGATTTAGCAATCCAGATCAGCCTGTCACTGGCTTGCTCCTTCATTCCATGCTATTTTCCCAACCAAGTCCATGAGTCACCATTATGTTACATCAATATTATATCAACTTATTAAAAAAAACACTCATTTGTCAGAAATGATGACACTCTTACAATCCCTGTCGAACAGTGAGCTCTACTCTGTATAACAAGTGTTTGCAAAAATTTATCCCCCTCTACACGTCTGCTGAGAGACTGGCAGGCTTCACACAGATTTTCATGTGTTCTGACAGTTGGGCTCTGCAGAAGAAGCATTTTCTGTCTGCATGCACCCAACTGAGAAGTTTCATTTGAATTTGGAGGAGAAAAAAGTTCAACTCATATGAAAGATTTCTATTTTCGACAGGTTTAATAAATTGAAAAATGAGTGTTTGTCAGAACTGACATTCCTGCACTGAACTAGACTAGGTTGGAGAAAGTGAAAAATAGAAATAATTTTTAACAAAAGTCTGTTTAAAATCTGCATCTGTTTCACAGAATCATCATTATTCTCAAAGATGTTTTCTGTTAAGGGCATTTTAATTGCATTTCAATTTGTTCTAATTCCATGCTGTGTTATTGTAACATAGGCTATGTTACGATAACATATATTATTGCAGAATTTCTTTAATTTCAAAATAACCACACAGACCTGAAGTTAAATGAAAAACACTAAAACTAAAATAACATTAAATATCAAGCACATTTTTACATTTAGACATGGACTTTTTTCAAACAACCTTTCATGATTCCCCTAACCCATTTTGTAGCTCAACAGTTCATGTCTTGCAGGCTTGTCAACATTATACCAATATTTTGTGGTTTCAATTCAGTCCATTGAAGAACAAATGGGATGGAAAAACATGTTAAGTTAGTCTTCTTTCATTTGAGATTGTCACTATTTTTATACAAAAAAATTGGAAACCATGAAGTGTTCCTAAAAAGGATTATTTACCTCCTTAGCTGTATCTTAACAGAGACAACAAACCCTTCTTGTCCTTACAGAGACTGGGTGATATCAAACACACACACTCAAAAGATGGATGAAAACAAAATGCACTGCCTCCCAGTTTTAGAAGACAGTGTAAAACTACAGGGTAGCGATACGGAAAAGAATGAAGCAATGCTGTCCCTTACTAGGAAATTACCAAACACAATGAGTAAACATTTGTGCAGAAAATTGATTCAAAATAAAACAGACCACTGAATTCTTTCTCCTGCCAAAGTTGCAAGAATTCTTTTAAAAACTGCATACCAAGGGGTTATTTTTCATTCTATGTATACTTACAGATTAGAGTTTCTCTTCACTCTTCAAGTGTTGTTTACTTGGATCTTCATTCTATGTAAGCTCTAAGAACAAAAAGCAAAAGACCTGGTACTTTAAAGAGTCATTGCCTTGCTTCCTTCTTTGAGCTTATGACAAAACTTTAACTTTGAGGCTGCGCTATGTGAGGGTAGGGCTGCCCATGGCATACAACCTTGGGAAGATTTTTTGTTGCATCACAGCATCCCTTACTTTGCAGCTACTTCTTAGCAATTTGAGGTCTTCAAAGCCTCCTATTTCTGAACAGGGCTTTATACTACTGCCTAAAATGATAAATTATACACACAGAAGTGAGCCTCACAGTTCATAAAGACACATGCATGGAAGGGCTGTTCCTCAGAGTGAAGGGGATGATTTGAAGGTGTGTTTTGAGAAAACAGGTCAGGACAAGAGCAAAATATGATCTAGATCTAAGTGTGGGCTTGGATGTGGTCAGAGACACCTAAGTGTAAGGCATGAAACCAAGCTTGCTCTACAGCCCAGCACCATTTCTCCGCTCTGCTTTCTGCCAAGATTTTAGCTCAGTGTCTGGATCTCAGGACATGGTGCCATCACTCCAGCTTCACAGTGCCAGCAGAAGGAAACTAGGAAATTTGGTTTAATTTAAAAAGTGGTTAGCCATGCCAGTGTCAAAGGCCCATCAAGCAATGATGGTTGCTGTGAGGTGTATGTGTGGTAAAAGATGTCCTACTGTGGGACTGAGTTTCTGTGAGGAGTCTGTGCAAGGTCAGTTTTGCCCTCCTGTTGGCTTAACATGTTTCTGTCAGAACACATGGTTATATTTGAGTGTACTTGTTCTGAAGGCGACAGTATAGACATGTAACTTTTAAGTGCAACCTCACACGTGAACGTTTTAACCAACTGCATCCTGTTGCCTCACATTTGGTTGAAAAATCACAAGGGAAGTCCTGCTCTGCACAACAGACTGGTATGTGATGGAAATTGTCTTTTTGTATTTTGCAATTTTAACAGTGGTTGACAGCTAAAGAACTGTTTCGATTATATTAAAATAAGCTTGTCTCAAGGATCTGTTGAAAGGCATACAGATAAAAAGCTAAAAACTCCATGGCAAAGGCAGAACTAAAGCTAAGATACCCTTGAATCAAGATTTGTGCCTTCTCAAATTAGTACATTTATCTTAGCTTCTTCTAGGTCTCGTTTTAGAGTGAATACATCCCAGTGGAAAGAAAGCTAAGGTATCTTTAAAACCTTCAGGTAGCTTCTCTATGTGTTTTTAAATTATGCAATATTTTTGATACATAAGTTACACACAGTTAAGCATAAGTTAAAACATAAGCCATGTTTTAATGCTGTATATTGATATATATTTTGATGCAATATAATAATTACATAACATAGAAGTTATATAATTTTGTTGATAAGTAACAATGTTGTTTCCTCAAGCAGTCAAAACAAAAAAAGAGATTTTCAGGTTGAATTCTTTCCACATGTTTGTAGTTGGCAAATCTTCAATCCTTTAATCCAGGATTAAACCAAGTCGTGAAATGCCAGAATATTATCTGGGACAGACACCCTCGTTGCCGGTGTTGGTCTCTAATTTGTAGTTAGCATCAAGATATAGATAGGTATAAAATGCTTAATATACATCATTACAACTAATTTTCCCTGCTAAATTGATGCAATTTTGCCCAGGATTTACCATCAGCATTTATAATGGATTCCAGACTGGTATTTTTAGATTTTCAGCTGTAATGTACTGAGCTGGTGGCAGAATGTGGTTATTTTATAGCATCACCAGTTTTGAGCACTGATACTCAAAATGCATGTATTTTAGGAGTTTTGAGTAATTGCTGGTAATTTTAGCAATATTCTGAAAATCTAGAAGTATGATAGTGTGTTTTCATAGTACTGTTGTACCATGTGGATTCAACCATCACCTAGTTTGAGTTTGCATTGCAGCAACAATTTCAAGGGCCAAAGTTGTTGAGAGTTGATGAGAGTCCAGGCTAGCTTTCAAGGATTGCTTGTCTTGAGACTGATTAGCATCAAGGCATCTCTACTCTGGATTGTGAAAAGTTATTGAGGAAAGAGAACCATGCCCTTTATGCTCAAGCAGAATACAGGCTGCTAGTGATTTTTCAACTGTTCCAAACTTGTAGTTATACACAGAATATCCATGGCAACACAGGTGTTTTGTTTGTCTACATTTATTTTGTCAGGACTCAAGGTTTTTGAGTGCTAATTCAGAAGTGTACTACAAAGGGTGGCAGGATCTATGCAAGCACGGTGGTTGGCTCTTCTAGAAAACTATTCTTTTTCGCTTATTTAAGTTGCAGAAAGCAAAAAATAAGATCCACCTGGATTGACTGTGGTCAATCAACTATAAATTGACTGTGGGTAACCTGGCTCTTAGTTAGTGGTGGGTAAAGCTTGAGTGATAGTCCTGACAACACTGAACTAGTGTGGATTACACAGAATCAGGGAGGACATCATTAATAATAATTTGTAGCCCTTACAGAAAGCTTGCTTTTTGATCTGCTCAGAGTCCCTCCTAGTGCCAGCTGTGGGTCTGGGGTGAGTGGTAAGACTGACTGATCAGTTATTAAGTTGCAATTGTGATAGGTTTGAATTTTATTATAAAGTAAAAGATCAGCTGCTAATATGAAGAATGGAAAGGCAGTATGTAATTAGAGTGAGTAACTTATAGCTGTTACCAATAAAAGCCTATTTTTGACTCATATTTCTACTGTGCTTTACTATTTCAAGCACCTGAATAGAAAGATATTAATTACCTACAAAGGGAAAACCATTCAGTATCAGTATCAGCCAAAAACATTTTATAGATAGTAAGTTTCCTAAAATGTCTCTCTCTGGGTTCTGATCAGTTGTGATTTGTGGCTGTCACCCAGGCAGTGCAAGGTGTCCTGTGAGTGAGAAATACTGCCTGTGACACATCTGAAAGAACATTTTGGAAAAGTACAGGGAGTAAATGTCACTTGAAATTCCTTGTTTCACACACCTTTGCATAGCAGAGCCATACATTTAAGCTCCTCTAAAAAGTGGAAATGCATCTGGTGGCCTCCTCCTAGTTTTTAAACTGAAACAATACCTACTTTGCAAGTTATTATACCTGGGAATTATTACTCAAATTTGCTTATATGTACCTGAGGAAAAATGGCATGGAGAAAATCTGTTTCCCTTTCAGTCTATCTCACTACCTTTTCCTCCTACAGAAATGCCAAAATTGCACCATGTTGAAGTATAGCGTATCAATAAATCCTCCTCAAATTTCTGTTCAGGTCTTACAGCTAGGAAGAAGTTCATTAAATCAGTGAGAGGTTCTAGCACTATATTATACTTTTTCTGAAGTATTTTTTCCCTGGTCTTTTTTGGTTTCAGATTCAGAAGCAGCCTCCACATGGTTTTTTTAGGGGTAAAATGGTAGAATTCATGAAGTCTTTCTGTACAGCATTGGATATAGAAGATATGCTTGTTGCCATGTGAGCCTGAGGTATGTGTGCAATTCAGAAAACAATGCTGTGTAGAAATATCTAAACTAGCTTTAAATAGGTAGTTGGTGATAATTTTGTGTTGGAGTGACACTCCCTCATCAAATTTATCCCTGTTTTCTAGGCTTAGAGACTTCAGCACTTCAATTAGCTCCACCAGAGCCAGTTTTGGTACCTCTGCATGACTCTGCAGAAAGTAACAGGCATATCCCAGTCCATGTGGATTGTGACTGTTGAATCTTAAAAATATCCAGGTTGGCAGTCACCTCGAGAAATTTTACTGTCAAACCTCCTGTTGAAAGCAGGGCTATAGACTGAGGTACCCAGGGTCCCATCAAACTGAGCTTTGAATATCTTCAGCAGGGGAAATTATGCTACTCTGAATTTTTCAGTGTCTGTCTTGGACAAGGAAGACGGAATCTGGACACCACATCCCAGGTGTGGCCTAACAGGTAGTAAATGGAGTGGAATAATCACATTCTTCACTTGCCAGCTGTAGTCCTTGACCTGCTGGCTGCGCTCTTGCTTCTGCAGCCCATGATGAGGTTTCATTACATTGCTGAGCTGTATGAGTGCCTGAGAGCATCAGGGGTGGTGTCTAAAAGTGCCAAAGTAAAGGCAGATCTGCTAACCTTTTATGAGGGTAACTTGAGATGATCAGCATCTGAGCTGGTTCTGAAAAATTTACTCATAAGGAAAAGTATCGGAGCCAAGGAGGAACTACTGTAATCATAATGGAAATTTCCTTCTTACTTTTTGCTCAAAGAATAATTGGCAAAACCAATAACACTTTTTTCTTTTCTTTTAATACATTTCAGAAAGGACTATGAAAGTGTGGATGTTACTGTAAAAGGAGACCAGCAGCCCCTTCTGCAATAATATTCCCAAAATACACTTTTAACTATAATTTTACTTCCAGTGATTTCATAAAATATGACATTCACAACTGCTGCAGTGGACTAAGAACACAAAGTACTTTTAACTTCTCCCCTGTCATGTTTCCCTCCAGCTCTGCTGTAATCTTACCTCCCACCAGGAACCGTTGAGCTCCATCCAGATCTGCAGCCTTCTCATTCGAGTTTAATGCTGTTTCCTTCCTCCTGGTCTGTCTCCAGTACCTCAGCACCTCTGCTGAGGACCTTCGCAGCACTTACCCAGCCATCCTCCAGCAGCATAGCACGACACTCTCCTCACTCCATGTGACTCCTGGACTTTGCAAAGAAGCGCTGTTGAGGAACTACTACTGCAACCCAGCTCTGTCTGCTTCCTGAAGTGCCACCCAGTGCTCATCAACCACAAACAGCTGACAGACAGGATTGGACCTGTTGTTATCATCAGTTGTTATCATCTCACTCATCAAGTTCATGGATGAAGATATGTTTTGTTCTGTCCAACATTTGATAAACATGTTCAGTTATTGCAAAATGCATTTTCCTGTAAGTGGCTATAGGTGAAAGAAAGAGAAATAATTGTAATGAAAATTAATATAACACATGTGAGTATGTGTTTGTGATATATATAGACATAAGTATCTCTCTCCTGTGGTATGAAGGCTACTCAGCCTCTCAGCAGGATTATCTCAGTTGCTCACATGATACCTCAGAGGAACTTTCCTCAGGATACAGTGATAAAACATCTGTAGCAACCCTGAAGCTGGGCATCCTGAATAGCTGAAAATGTTCTGGTACTCCTGAAATGCTTCTATCGCTTGATCAAACAATAGTCTTCCAGAGAGATGTAAGCATCCACTCTGCATATGCTTTTTGTATACTGCAGTTGTTTTATAATTGAAAAGTACTGACTCAAACTTTTTATAAACAAAGAGAATGAAGCATGTGAAAAGGAGAAGGATGTGGGGTGAATTTGCTATAAGATACCATGATCTTCTTTGTAATACACTGTTTTATAATAATAATTCTTAATTGTAGCCATTTCATACATCTGCTACCAGAAATCTGTCAGAGAAACAAAGGTACCTGCAAAGCTGAAATTATTCCTTGGCCCCATTTAATTTCAAAAAGTCATTCTCTATCAGTGACATGGCAGAATAGCTACAAAACCCAGCCATGCAACAAGTAGCAGGGTAGGACAAACTCATATTTCAAAATCTTGATGTTGCATTCCCAGGAGCTCAGTATGAATAATAAAAGTGTTCAGAATAAGGATGTCCTCTTTCTTCCAAATTAAGGGCATATGCTTGGGGATTTTAAATCCAAAAGCTCATTAAATGTTCTGTCCTATTCCCCTGTTAAGATTCCACCAGATAAAAAGCAAGATTTGTAGAAAATATCATACTTTCTCTAACAATGTCTTACTGCTCTTTTCAAGGTTTAATAAAGAAACTGTTTTTCCAATAACCAGTTAAGCTTAGAAATACTTTTAGTGATCTGTCACTTAAAAATTATGACAAATATAATGTTAAAATATATAGTAATACCTTTTCTTAAATAAAAAGTACAGCAGTATTTTCCATGACACCCAAATGCAAAAATTAAAAACCATGCTGAATTTGCCTCATCCTATATTACATGCTATGAAAGACTTCAGACATTTTCTTCAAAGTTACTTAACAAGTCTGCTCCTGAGTCAGAATTAGACTACTTCTCACCTAATGTGTCTCATGCTTTAACCTGTAGGCTATATTTTGCGTTTCAATAAGCAGAAGGAATGTTTCCAGAAAAGAAATCTCACACTGACTTGTGAAACCCAGTAACTCTTGTCTCAAGCAAAAAGCAGATATGGGTTTTTAAGAAGCTGCTCATCCTCAGCAGTTATATGTAGCATTAAATATCCCTGAGAATTTGATTTTTTGAGAAGCAGAAGTTTGCACTTTCAATGGGAATGTAGCTTTATTTTTTTTTTTTTTCCCCAAGACTGATCTATTTGCACAGTGCTAGGATATAGGATATGGACTTCTGGAGGTCATCTGTGTTAACTAGGCACTCAAAGCAGTGCTGGATTATGTCAGGCTGCTCAGTGCCTGGACCAGCAGAGTTTGAATAGCTTAAAAAATTGAGGTCACATCATCTGCAGGCTCTAGTCCCCAAGTTTGACTGCTCTCATACTGTAATTTTTTTTCCCTAACATCCAACTGGAATGTTCCATGCTGCATCTTATATCCATTGCATCTTGTCCAACATATATTCTCCTCTGGGAACTATACATGTCCTTGTTTTTCTGCTGCTTCTCATGAAGTACGTGTGGAGAGATAAGATCTGCCTGTGCTTTTCGTGCTTTTCATACTGCAGATCAGGATGTGGTTAGCCTCCGTCTCCTTTTTTTTTTTTTTTTTTATGTCCATTTTTGACACAGACAGAGGGATCCAGCATATGCTCAAAAAATTCACAGGTGACACCAAGTTGAGTGGTGTGGATGACACACCTGAAGGATGGGATGCCATCCTGAGCTACCTGGACAGGCTGGAGACGTGGGCCGATGAGAATCTCATGAGGTTCAACAAGACTGGAACAGGTTTCCCAGGGAAGTTATGAATGTCCCATCCCTAGAAGTGTTTAAGGTCATTTTGGATGGAGCTCTGAGCAAACTGATCTCGGGCAACATGTCCCTGTCCATGGGAGAGGGGTTGAATCCTTAAGGCTGGTCTCCAATCCAAGCCATTTTATGATCATAATTCTGTGATTCTATGGTTCTGTGATTCCTGGCTGCCAGCTGGGCCCTGGTGAGTGTGTAGAGAAGGCTGTTGTCAGGAATGGAACCTCACTGCCAAGTCCACTCTTTGCATCACAAAAGCTGGCACTCCTGCTGCAACATCTCCCAAGGCTGCATACCTGTAGGCACAGACATGTCCATACTTCCTCCAAAGTAAAACATCTTTCAGGTAGGCAGTAAAAGATACAGCAGTTCATTCAACAGCTGTTGCTCATCTGTGTGATTTTGGGAGTAATTTTTTACCATGCCACAGTCACATGCCAATAACTCACACTAGAAACCAGCCTTCAACTGCTTCCTCAATCTTTACAAGAAAAACTCCTGATTCAGGCTGTCGCATCCAGAGAAAGGAGCAGAACTGTAGAAAGTTTCGCACTAACTACAGATCCATGAAGAGAGAGAAAATGTTTTAGCAAATATGTAATCACTATAGCATTTGACTTTTGTGGCATATCTATTTGGTGTCCAGTTCTTTTATTTTGTGTTCAAATAGAGTCTTACAACACAGCAGGGTAAGGATTAAGGATAAAGTATAGCAACAGAGCAAAATGGGACAGAAAAGGGGTATGGGGTTCAGGTGTGAAGACAAAGTCATTGTCACCAGAAGAAGAGACCTGCAATTTCTGATCTATCAGCCTTTCCTTATCTTTCTTGCTCCTTCCCAATGTTATTCTTTCAGATGAGAAACATTTGATTATTTTTCACCTCAACAGCAGCAACACTTGAAGAGTTAAAAGCATATGAACATGATAAGGCATTCTCCTGCCTCCTAGATGGTTGTAGAAACTTTTTATAATCAGAACAACATCAGAGCTTGGAATTTGCCGATTGAATTATCATGGCCTTTCTCTAGCACCCAGAAGCTGCACATTAACAGACCAGGCCAGAGGTTCAACCCAATATCTGTTTGATGTGCTATCCCACAGGCTGCAAACTCCTTTCAATCTCCTGTAATTAATGTCTGTCACACTGTGAAGAACAAAATATGAGCAGCACCAAAGTGCTTGAGCCAGTCAGTCTTCAGCAACACTTTTCTGTGAGGACTATGCCTGCATCTGGTGAAAATGGGAGTTGTAAATAAATATCTGTGGTGTTTTGCTGAGAGCAGATCAGAAGACCTGAGAATCTATTTGAGCAATGAAGAGGAGGAGAGTCAATAAGATTTTAAAGGACAGAAACAGCCATGGCCCTTTGTGGCTGTTATCAGTCCAGGGATGTTTTGTGAATTAGAAATACAGAACAATCTAGATTGAGGAAGTCTGCAAGGAGACTGAAGAGTTGCAATATCAAGATGTCAACCTAATTTACAAGAGAGAGGTCTTCAGTAATTTGTACAAATTTTCTCCCTGTTCATAGATATGTTACCAGATATGTTCAGTACAGTCACACTTGTCTGCATGGTCTTTTTACTATTTTCTTCAAAGTTTCTACCTCACTATCAAAGTTAAGTGGATTGTGTGCAGATTATTTGAACACTGGAGAGATTATTGAACTTCTACAGAAAACCCAATGAATTGCCTGCTTAGAGGAAAAAAAAAGTTATTGATTCCAGTTAGAATAGGGCACAGTTGATTTTATCTGACCTTTACTAGCCAGAGGAGGTATGAATTTGTTTTAAAAATATTTATTGTATCTTTCACAAGACAGAAGAGTGGTTAAAACAGCAGTGGTCAAAACAGCTGCTCAAGCTGTTTTGTTTTAAAAATATTTCTTGTATCTTCCACAAGACAGAAGAGTGGTCCAAACAGCAGTGGTCAAAACAGCTGCTCAAGCCTTGAGTTATCCACTGTGGCAATGAGTTCTCTGGAGGGTTTATCCTAGAGATCATAGAAAGACTTGTGTTGGAAGAGAGCTTAAATATCAGGAAGGGACCTTTCCCATAGCACAGGATGTCACATTTTTTGCTCCAATGTCTGAAGGACAAAATTTGTTTGCTGTGCTGGGAGTGAAATAGAAACTTTTACTTCCGCTATTACTGTAGCCAGGTTTGGGAGCAGGTTTCTCTATGGGCAGAGAGCCAGTTTTGGGAAAACAACAATCTAATTCTGCCATTTGGGTTTTCCAGTGCTCCTAATCAGTGAAACCTGGTCAGTTTTTGGTCAGTGAGAAAGGGAAGCAGCTTAGACACAAGAAAGGTAGATTAGATACTAGAAGCAGTGAAATCACTGAGAGAAAGAGATATAGTCTGCAATTTTACAGCATGTCAGCTCCTTTCCTGTACAAGTGTGTGACTTAATTTTGCAAAGAAATCTGTAAATACAAGGAACTCCAAAGCTCCAAAGCTTTATCTGTAAGACTTATCTTTTGTCTGTCTCTTTGCCTGGAACAAGCACAGAAGTCTTGCTCTGCTGGGAGGGTCACCAGTCTTAAGCACTGGAACATGAACCTGGGAACTCTTTAACTTGAAAAGACAATCCAAGAAAGACATAAAAATATTCCTCCTTTTTGTTCCAGTTCAGATGTTAGCATGTGGTTTTCATTGTTGCCAAATCTAGCCTAAAAAAACACCAAAAACAAACAAACAAACAAACAAAAAAACCACCCCAACAAAACAAAACAAAACAAAAAAAACAAAGAAAGCCCAAAGGAAAATCAAACCTTTACAACAACATGGAAGAGAAAGGAAGCTCTTTAAGCACTGTGCCTACTAAAACCAAAATGCAGGCATCCAGTGTCTGAGCATTGATAGAAGACATACTTTTCTGAGCAGACTTGAACATGGCACAGAATTTTTTTAAAATACCATTGAGTAAACAATGACATTGAATTTTGAGAGATCATGATGGATGCAGAGCAGTGATGAACTCAGCTTTGAAGGTTTTTTTACCCATACGCAAATGAGAAATCTCCGTATAAACGAAATTTAAATGACCCTTCAGCTGCACAAATGGGACAGACATGTGCACCACAAAACAGTTGAAACCCTTGTGTTTTTCAAGTGAGGCCCTCTGCATGTGGTAACCACAAGATTTCACCTTCCTCCAGAGGATGGGAGGGCTGTTCTGTGTGGGATTACAAGTGGCAGCTCAGTACTTTCACAGAGTGAAGTATGTGGTCTGTATAGAGACAGAGTTGTCTCAAAGAAGGAAGACAGCCATAACATGTAAAGGAGCACAAGCAGAAAAAGGAATTAGAAGTAAAGGCATGAAGTCAGGAATATGACACCACTGAGACTGCAAAATCAGGCAGACAAATTCAAGGAATGGGGAAATTTGAGCTGTGCAAAGCCAACTCTCTCTCGTCTAGTTTTTTCTTAGAGCCATGTTTCTCCATTTGGGAGACAGCAGCTCCAATTCTCTAAATGCTGGGAGAATGGACAGAGAGGGGGAGTGTTGGCACTATAGCTGACAGCAAGCTGTTAGGGTTAGTCCTAGCTGTCTGGGATGCTCAGCCTGAAGACTCTGCCTCCCTGATTTGCATCAGTCACGCTGTTTCGGTGATTTCTTTCGGAGAGCCAGTGAACAGGATGACCAGGCTGATACATTCTATTGAGTCAGCTGAGCACTAAACCTAAACATATTTCACCTGAGCTACAGCTGCTAAAACTGCTCTCATTGTGAATGTGCTTGAGGACTGGGGTTCAGAAGGAGAGCCCCATAGCACTGATGGTGTTTTGTGCACTGCTGAGTTGATCACTGAGGGCCTGACAGAGCTGTCACTCTAAGGTGGCAATTAAGACAATGCCTCTACAAGGAAATATCTGTTGCTGGTTTAAATTGAGTCATGCCAATGTCCTCCTAATTACCTAGGCCTTTTTTCTCCCCTCCTACACCATTACTGCATCAGTCACTGCCCCTCTGTACCACCCTACTTATGGGAAAAAGTCTTAAGGCTTCACTCCCACTACCTCTCCAGTTAAAACATGGCTTCTTCCTGAAAGGCTGGATGCCATTCCCATCTCTAGATGGCTTCTTAGAAGTAGATACAAAGCCAAAAGTATCATATCTTAGGCAGCTATATTTTGTTGTCTCCCTAGTCTTTTACATGCCTTCATTCATGTACTTACATAAACACAGCAATATCCGCATTTTGACAGACTTGTTTCATAGTCCATAGCTGAACATCATTGAATACAGGTTTTAGATGTCTGAACTAAAAATAACTGCTCCCTGCTAACATCACACAGCTACACAACAAAAACTGAGTGCAAATTGCCATGAGAGACACCTCTCTGGTTCCCATTTTGCAGTCACAGCAGTGGACACCAAAAGAAGTCTTCAGTGCACTACACTAGCCCATCCCTAGGAGCTGATGTAGAGACTCAGAATGTCTCTAAAATGCCAACAGGCACCAAAACTAACTCAGAATGAATATAAAACAGTATCAGTAGCAACAGCAAAATCATCCATTTAAAATTAAACTGAGAAATTAATTTGGGGACTAGTGGAAATAACACCAGCTCCAGCTGGTCAGACATGGATTGCAGCAATAATTTGATCCAGGTTATTGAATGTCATACATCAGCATGTAGCACCACATCTAACTTTAGCATCTGTAGCTCCTCAGAGACTGTCTCTGAAAAGTGACAGCCTAGCTTGGCTGCTCAAAACAAACCTCAGCAACAGCATGGCAAATGAAGCTGTCATGAGCCAGCAGCTTGCTGCATCAACCACTTCAAACACAGATGGATCACAGGTTTTGTCCATCACATAGGTTTTGTTGAAAAAGTTGAAAGTTTTGACATTGTCTTTGTCTCCTATAGAAGTACATGGTTTAATTAAAAAATTCTTCCATTTATTTAGTTTAGGATGTTTCTGTGTTTAATTTAATGGAGTTGTACAGCATAAGGTATCATCTGCTTGTCAGCAAAAGGTCTGACATGGCTAATTGCATGATCTTGCTCGTAGACTATGCCCATGTAAAAATATATCTGGCTACACAAGGATGCATCACTTCTAATCACTCCCTTCAGCTTTATGTGCATTATGTTTCAGATATCATCCTGTCTTTCTCACTGTTCCATGCACAGTTAATCCTTCTGTCACTCAGATTACTTTTTGGTGGACCTACTGTGATGCATACTAGAAATCTGAGGACTCATGATGTCAAAAAATACTTAGTTTTCAGTTTCCACCAAGGCTGTCTCAAGGGAGGAGAAAAATGCCTTCTTTGGTTTTTTAATATATAGTCCATTTGCTCATTAAAGCATTTGACTGACTGTCACTGAAGTACTGGCACACTGAATAGTCTTCTTGATAAAAGTTAGTAAGGAATAAGCCAACATTATTTTAAGCCTTTGCTGTGTTACTATTGAATGTTGATAGCTTTTCCAAGGCCTTAGCTGTGTGTTTCCACTTTTGAGTAAAGGAAGCCCACAGTATGTATTTGGAAGCAGGAACTTGTAATTGAGTAGATTAATTATTTGACTGGCATGATATAAGGCTCAATTTTAAAAGCATTCAATTAACTTTAAGCACTATTATTCCCATTCAAGCTGGTCATTATTCCTTTGCCTGAGTGCTTTCTTGAACTGGGTCCTGAATATGAAGCAGTCCTGTGTTACAAAATTGATTGCTACAGCTCCAGCAATCTCTGCCCCAGCAGCCTAGCTGCTTTGCTGACAAAACCAAAGTATATACATACACCCTTCGCAACAAGAATCAATAGTGTCAATGATGGGACAGCTACCAGAGAGAATGACCCTCAGGAGAAAGACAGTTCAAAGCAAAGCTGAAAAATAACAAGTTAAAATCAACAAGTTTTACACCTTGCTGGGGTGCATGGAGGCTCAGGATCTGTGAGGTGCCAAAGGATGAGATCCTTAAGAGCAAAACCCTGCAGGTGAGGCAGTGGGGCAGGGAGCTGTGCTGGGGTTGAGGTGGCAGCGTGAGGAGCAGCCCTGCCTGCCCTGCTCAACCAACACCGCACAGCACTCATCCTTCTGCTGTCTCCATGGGGGAAATACCCCTCCATTCAAGGACACTGGGAATTTAATCTACTTGCACCAAACCCACAGGTGCAAAACCCACACCTGGAGCTCTGTCATTGCAGGGGTGGTAGCAGGGATTTTTCAGCTGAGAGCAATACTGATTCTTCTTGGAAGAATACAAAGGCAAGATGCTGTAAAGGCATCTTGGAGGAATACAAAGGCAAGTCGTGTCTGTTAATTCAGGAACTATTATTTTCCCCCACCTCACTGTACCCAAGGGCTTGGGGAGCTGTATATCAACCCCAACATAACTGGAACCATGCTCAGAAAGGAATTAATCATCACTAAGGCTGAGTGGCCTCTAGTTTTAGCTGTTACTTTTTACTCCATGTTTTTATTAAGGCTTAATTTGCTATGTTTTTTTTTTCCTGGTTTGGGTGCATGGTCCAGCATTCTGGGAGATGTGTAACTAGAATGTTTGGCAGAATGGTGTGAAAGCATAGGAATTTTTTTTAGTGTGTTTCGCTACATTTGTCGCTCTCCTTGCTTGTCTCATAGGGGTGAATTTTGGTGAAAGGTGGTGTAGGGTACGAGCATGTCTCAAGGTCCTCTGGACCTTCACTTCCTCCCCTCCACAGTGCAAATATTTACTGGGTAGTACAGAAGACAAACTTGTAAAAAATCTAAAGTTGTTTCTCTGCCTGGATGGCCAAATTGGGAAGATTCAAGGTTCATAAAGAAGCTTAAATCAAGCAACTTTTAGAGAGGGGAGAAGGTGTGGAATGTCATCCTTCCTAGGATTAAAGTGCAAGTGTCTAGGTTAGCTGGGATTATCCTGCATTTTAGAGGTGCTGTGTGAAACCTCCTTTATCTTGTTCTCATGTTCAGTAAAAAATTTGTTTATATCAGAGGTCTCACACTGCTGGACTGAGGCACTCACTTTTCCTCTGCCACCCTGTGTACACTCCCATCTTTTGCCTCTCACCCCATAAATACATTTGTTCATTTAGAGTGAGCCAGGGGGATTTTGGTTCTATGTCAAGCTGTGCAGCCCCCAGTCCTGCCCATAGACCCTTAGAGGGCTGCAGGCTGCATCCACAGCAGCAGCCATGCAGCTGCAGTGCTCAGAAGGTCAGCTGTCCCAAATCTCTCCTGCAGTTTATATCTGTCATCCTTGCTGTGAATGCCAGAGGAAGAGTTCAATCCCTTTGCTGTATAAATAGGGTGGGTGAGCTATCAGTGGGAAATATCTCCAAAAGCTTCTTTCCTTCAGATTGTTTTGTCCTTAAAAGACTGTGCAGAATTTCAGGAAAGCTTTTTGTGCTTGGGATCAAGAAAGAAAAAAAAAAAAATTGTTTCACAGCCTCACACAGTACTTCCTTCTGCTGAGCAGGGGCTGAGTGAACTGCTGCAGCCTCCTCCCTTGCAGCATCCCTTGTGCATAGGATGTAGTCCTGGGCCTGTGGCAATCCCCTAGCCAAAGCCTCGGTGGAGACTGTTCTTTCTGGCAGAGTTCCCTATTTTCTGTATGATGGCCTCAAGCCTATTTATGCCCAAATATCCTGTCAAAAAATGGAAATAGGGATAAATTCAACAGTTACAGTACCAAAATGAAAACTAGACTTACTGTGGCTTAAAAACAAGAAAGAGAGCCAAGAGATTTTGTGTTTGCATTTTTCAGTTTTATGGAAGCCAGTGCTATGAAATAAATTGTATTGCTCTACTAGAGCTTGGTATGAGATTGGTTTTGTACCAGCCTGTTTTAACATCTGAAAAAATCTGGTATTACAAATATACGAGACAACCCACTGGGAAGTCTGTCAAACATGAAAAATTTGGGAGAGCAAATTATATAGCCCACCTGAGCACCTCATTCCAGCTCTGCAGGAGGTGGGACATGACATACTGTTTTGTGTGAAACAACAGATTTTTTGTGCAATTTTTTTGTAGGAAGATTCTGCTTTCAGATGTGACCTCATGCACAGAGTGCAAAGACAGATCTCACATAGCAAGATGGGTTCCAAACTTCTCGATGAAAGCAAGCAGCCTCTCAGTGAAAACTGACATTTCAAAAGGTGAGTGCAACCTGAACAAATTCCCTCATTATTCTGTCTTCTAGAGCAAGCAGAAAGCAAATAACACTAAACTGGGAAGATCTGTTGACTCCCTTGAGGTCCTGCAGAGAGACCTCAATAAATAAGAGAGATGGGCAATCACCAACCATGTGAAGTTTAACAAGGGTGAGTGCTGGATTCTGCACCTGGGATGGGACAACCCTGTTTGTGTGCACAGACTGGGGAATGAGGGGCTGGAGAGCAGAGCCATGGAAGGGGACCTGAGGGTCCTGGTCCATGGTAAGCTGAACATGAGCCAGCAGTGCCCTGGCAGCCAGGAGAGCCAACCATGTCCTGGGGTGCATCAGGCACAGCATCGCTGGCTAGGGGAAGGAGGGGATTGTCCCACTCTGCTCTGCACTGGGTTGGCCTCACCTTGACTGCTGGGGGCAGTTTGGGGTGCCACAATATAAAAAAAAAATATTAAGGTGTCCAAAGGAGGTCCACAGGGGTGGTGAAGGGTCTGGAGGGGAAACTATATGAAGAGTGGGAAGGGGGAGGGGAGGGGAGGGGAGGGGAGGGGAGGGGAGGGGAGGGGAGGGGAGGGGAGGGGAGGGGAGGGGAGGGGAGGGGAGGGGAGGGGAGGGGAGGGAGGGGGGGAGAGGAGAGGAGAGGAGAGGAGAGGAGAGGAGAGGAGAGGAGAGGAGAGGAGAGGAGAGGAGAGGAGAGGAGAGGAGAGGAGAGGAGAGGAGAGGAGAGGAGAGGAGAGGAGAGGAGAGGAGAGGAGAGGAGAGGAGAGGAGAGGAGAGGAGAGGAGAGGAGAGGAGAGGAGAGGAGAGGAGAGGAGAGGAGAGGAGAGGAGAGGAGAGGAGAGGAGAGGAGAGGAGAGGAGAGGAGAGGAGAGGAGAGGAGAGGAGAGGAGAGGAGAGGAGAGGAGAGGAGAGGAGAGGAGAGGAGAGGAGAGGAGAGGAGAGGAGAGGAGAGGAGAGGAGAGGAGAGGAGAGGAGAGGAGAGGAGAGGAGAGGAGAGGAGAGGAGAGGAGAGGAGAGGAGAGGAGAGGAGAGGAGAGGAGAGGAGAGGAGAGGAGAGGAGAGGAGAGGAGAGGAGAGGAGAGGAGAGGAGAGGAGAGGAGAGGAGAGGAGAGGAGAGGAGAGGAGAGGAGAGGAGAGGAGAGGAGAGGAGAGGAGAGGAGAGGAGAGGAGAGGAGAGGAGAGGAGAGGAGAGGAGAGGAGAGGAGAGGAGAGGAGAGGAGAGGAGAGGAGAGGAGAGGAGAGGAGAGGAGAGGAGAGGAGAGGAGAGGAGAGGAGAGGAGAGGGAGAGGAGAGGAGAGGAGAGGAGAGGAGAGGAGAGGAGAGGAGAGGAGAGGAGAGGAGAGGAGAGGAGAGGAGAGGAGAGGAGAGGAGAGGAGAGGAGAGGAGAGGAGAGGAGAGGAGAGGAGAGGAGAGGAGAGGAGAGGAGAGGAGAGGAGAGGAGAGGAGAGGAGAGGAGAGGAGAGAGGAGGCCCCCCCAGGGAATGATCATAGAACCAGCCTGACAGAGTTTAAGAAGCATTTGGACAGTGCTCTCAGGCACATGGTGTCACTCTTGGGGCGACCAGTGCAGGGTCAGGGGTTGGAGTCAATGGTCACAATGAGTCTCTCTCTGAAAACTCAGCATTTTCTATGATTCTGTAATTCTAAGATTCTATGAAATTACTTCAGAGTACTTAGTATAATAAAGTTGTGAGGCAGACATTTTTCTGTGTAAGATAGGTCTGAGCAGAAGTACAGGCAATTCCCAGACCACTCAAATCTCACCAGGAAAATATAATTTTTTTCTGAGCATTTTTCAGCTTCCTTCTTCTTGTTCAGCTAAAATAAATGTGAGATAAGGTTGTTCCTTATATATTTGGTGCACCTATTTCTTGGCTGAGTCAAACAATGAAAAAGTCCAGAAAAATGTGAATACAATAAAATGTTTCGGAAAGTTTACCAAACCATTAGTTGGTCAAAAATAGGATTAAGGTGGTGTTATATTAGAAGGCTTGATTCACTTATTTTATCATCATCTCATGCTGATAACTGTAAAAAGCATGGTGGAGCAGGAATGAAATACAAAGGGTATGGTGAAATTTGGATTTCTATTTTAATGCTCTTGCTCCTGCCTTGCCTGTTTTCATCCAACCAGAACAGTGGCCCAAGCTGTAACCCTTCACCTGACACTCTAATTCTGTAGTTTTCAGACATCACCTTTGTCCCCAAAGACCAAGATGGGACAGGAAGATGTTGCAGGCTTCACTCCTTCAACGGGCAAGAAAGAATTGGATAGGCAGATGAAGGAGGTAGGATGGTGGGTCATTGGCCAAGGATCCCAAACTTGTAATACCTTCAATTGATTCATGGTGAAAATGTGAGCAAGTGATTTATGCTGCCTTGGTCTCACTGAAGTTGGCAGAAGTTTTCCAGGTGATTTGCAATTCCCTTCACCCTCTGTTTCATGTGCTTTTGGGCAGAGAAGGGGACAGAGCATGCATACAATCACACATAAACTTATTTACAGACAGCAACATGTCAAAAGAAAACTTGTGAGACCAGGCAATATTCTACTTTAGCTAATTGCAAAAAAGGAATGTATGCCCATTATGGACTTTCCAAATGCTGTGAATTTCCTGGCAATTAAAGACAACTGGAAAATAATGCCAAATAAGTTTAAAAATATTTAAGGACTTACCTTGAGAACAGCCTTCATCTTTCCAGTGTTCTTGAGTGACACCTATTGTTATCTTAATGTTTCAGGCATGTTTTGAAAATCATGTCCTTGATGGGAAGCATAAGTAAAATGGCTGTTCCTGCAAAGACAATTAGACATTTTTATATCTTTGTGCAAGTTGATTTCATGACTAGACTTCACCAGGGAACTTTCTGTCACTTCTGAACAAAACACAGAAGTCTAAAGAATCAAGAATCCTTGTATAAAGACAATGGAGGGAAAACCCTACTCTTCACTGCATGTTTTTGTTCTTAATAAAGTATATTTTAAATTTTTTTTCATGACATATATTTGATTTCAATTTTTAGATTTGTATTCCCTGAACACAAATTTCTCAAGCATCAACATGTTCTGTATTCAGAGGACATCAAAAAATTGCAGGCAAGTGGTCAAATTATAACTTATCCTGCTATTAATGATTTGACAAATTGTGTAGCACACACATTTTGCACATTTTTACTTGGTGCCCAGAAGTGTCCCGACACCCCTTTTTCTCAAGGGTTGGTCAACTTGAGCAAGAGCAATTTTTCTGGGGAGGAATGTGGGTGGAAGACACTGGCTGGTAATAAAACCAGAACTAACCTATGGTATTCATGGTCCTCGGCCAGGGATAGCATTTGGTACACCAGGTGTTTTACATGCATAAGGAAAAATTCAGTTCCTCTTTTATAAGCTTTCCAGTTTAGACACAAGCACAAGAACACCAGAGACTAGAGTTACAAGCAAGCAGCAGGATGGGTTTTTTTCTGCTGTCTCTTCCACTGGTTTCTATGTGTAACTACAGTAAGGAATGGATTGTAGGCTGAATTCATGAACACACACATACATACACCCATTTCCTCTATCTTCTTTGTAAAACAAACTCAGATAACTAGCATAGGAAGGATTTGATTTGTTGTTTGTTTGTTTGTTCGGGTTTTTGGTTTTTTTTTTTCTGAAAGGAAAAAAACCAAATAGCATAATTAACATTAAGAATATATATAGTTAGGTATTGAGACCTGCAAATCTTATATCGAGGCTTGTGTCCGGTCTCCCATTTCATTAACCCTGGTACTGCCTTGTGTCTCATTCTGTCCACCCTCACCACTGCTAACCCATTTTATTCACAGGGGTGTTTGCAGGAGTCATTGAAAATATTGGAAGAAATGAATGAGAAACTTATAAAGGTATGAAAAAGGTCCTGTGAAAAAAATAAATAGGTATGATATGTGATGAAAGAGTGTGAGAGCCAACCATAAAATTATTAAAAATAGATTATAAGTTTGGACTTGCCCTGGAGCAATGAAGACCATGTCAGGGCAGCTCTGTGATGTGCAACTCTGTCCAGACAATGGCATAGGAAAGATTTTGCTGGCTATCACTGTCATGACAAAGAAGCTTTCCCATCAGCGCTGTCTTTGAGTACAAAGATGTCTTGAGAACAGACTTTTGGATGAGTCACAGCATATTTGAGTTTGTTACTTACTGAGTCTTTGGGAATTCTTCTATTGCTGATAAAGGTGGATCCCAAATTATGTGGTCCCAAGGCACGCAGTTATCCACAAAGAGATTGACACAGTCTACCTTTCTTTCACGACTATCATCTGGTAACTGAATAGTTTTCAAATGTACATTTTCCTAATCTCCTATTTTGTGGGCACAACCATGACCTCCTGACAAGAAGCTTTCTTGTGTTTTACCATAGGAACAAATACAAGAATGAGGGTAGCTAGCACCTTGTTTTTTCTCTCCAGTGGAAGATGCCTTGGGTTTCTAAACACACAGCTGGGATTTAAATTAGCCTTCTAGAACTAAAATCTTTCCTATTCGTTCAACCATCATAAGATTTTGAAAAAGTGCAGTGCTAAACAAAACTGAGTGTTTTGACATACAAATTCATTTTCCTACCTCCCCCCTCCCCTTGACTGGCTGGTTGGTTTTTTTTGTGCAGTAGGAACAGCTGATCTTTTTGCCAACAAAACAATTAAATGCAAGCACTTGTCATAACAAAATCTACAGCAAGGTTTTGAAATGGTGCATACATCTGTGAATTCATACAAAGCTACAGAAAAGTAACACTGTTATATAGGAAAGGCGTCCATAAACCAAGCCATCTTGATTTATGAGTCACAAGAGTCATTAGATCACAGAATATTTCAGGTGGGAGCGGATTGAGGGTAGGTGGTGTGTTTGGTCTGACCTCCCACACAAAGCTCAGAGAATGCTGTTCAAGGCTGCATCCATCTGGGCTGTAATAACCCTGGGACAGAGCCTTTCTATCTCCCTGGCCACTCTGTGGCCTTACCAGAATCCATCAGTTACCATGGGGAATGTGGCATCCACACATGGTCTAAAAAGTGCCAAGGGGAAGAAGAGAGCCCCTTCTCTAGGGCCGTGCTTCTGCACACAGGGGTGGGAAGTGCTGCTCTTCTTCGCTGCCAGGGCACCCTGGGGGTTCACACTCAGCTCCTGTCCCATCAACCTCCAGGCCTTTCCCTCACTCCCCAACTCCTGAGCATGTTTTTCTGCTCGGGGTGTTCTGCATCCCACAAGTTACTGAGCCCTGGGCCGTGTTTCTGGTGACAGAAGAATTGCCAGGAGTTTGGTTGATGCGTGGCATCTTGCCCAAGTCCATGACTGCACAGGCAGCTGTCCCCCCTGCCACCATCCCTCAGCACTGGCTGGCACAGGCATGGCTGAGCAGGGCTGCAGGTGAGTGTGCAGCAGCGCTGGTGCCCACTGAGCTGCCTGTCACACCGCTCTGACACGTAGCACAGGCACTGCAGAGCATCAGTTCCTGCTGATAATGAAAAAATGCCTTCCCAGTGGTCACAAGGAGTTTGCTTCTGTAGATCCTCTGGGCCTGATAAAAGTCACAGCCACCCTCAAAGCATTTATCTCAGCATGGACATCAGCTTCAGCTTCTGCCTCCTATCCTGCTGCCGATTTTTACCAAACCATTTTTTTTTTACCATTTTTACCGATAGGAATTTTATTTCTGTAAGATTTTCCTTCACTGCTGAGACCAACTACAATTTCTGGGGCTAGAAAGACTGTCAAACACACAGTGTAATCACATAATCCTAATTTCTCATAAATGTTTGAGGGATATAAAGTGCTGGTTTGTAGCTTTTTAGCAGTGTCTTTACACTGAAAATGCAAACAAGAGTGTTCTATTATTAAAACTTTTCCCTTAACAAGTTATATTTCTTACTGGATTTTAGGAAAAAAACAGAATATTGGAAAGAAGAGAATTAATCCAAAAGCAGGAAAAAATCCTAAAGGTATGACATCTTATTGGATATAACAATAGGTCCTCTTTCTTCCTTTAGACCATCATCATTCTAGAATATTTTTTACAAAGGTAAGTACAAGAGTATCAAATAGAGACTTAATAGAGTCAAATCTAGCACACGTTAAGAGTGTGGAGCATAGACCGGCCATTAGTCTCCAGGATACAAAAATAATGCAACACTGAGAAGTTTTGGGTTAGAAGTTTTTTAGACCATGGTCTGCAAACCAGCAAGAGTGTTTTTAAAACAACTAACCTTGTATTATTGGTAACATAACTCAGCCAGAAAGTTACTGCAATATAAAACTAATACCAGGAGGGTAGATTCCTGTACTCAGTTTGGGAGAGCAGGATATAATATCTGCAAGGGCAGCACTGGTGCTGATCTCATGCTAATAAGCTCTGAGTTGCTTTTTATTGAACAGCAGAATGATGGACTAATACTAACATTGTTTGCTTTTCCTTTGAACTTTTAAGGACATGCAAATAAAAATAAATCACTTGCACAAGCAGCTCAAGCTCCCTGACCTAATTGAGTCGTAAGTATTAGCAATGTCCTCTATTCTGTATTCTTATAGTATCCAGAATGTTTCCACATCTGCCATATGTGAAGCATGTGCTATTGATTGTCAGTTAATATGGTTTAGGCAGCATCAAACAAGCACCTCATATTTATGCAGAATAGCTTCTTTTTCCTGTCACATAATCACCCAACCACAGAAATGTAAATGACATTTAGAATTGGAAAGTCCCATCTCATTTTTCAGCAGACTCCAGGAGTAGCTTATCTTTTACTCAGTAGACCAAAGTTGTAGGGCATACCCTGGATATTAATTTCAATTCTCTTTCCTAATAACCTGTAAGAGGTTCATAGCATTACTTTGCAGAGTAAGAAGCAAAGCAGCAGCCTGAACAGCAGCAGTAAAGCCTGCAGCTACATGCTCATTTTCAGATCAAGTGCTCTCTCTCATGACCAGAGCTCAAGTGACACTTAAACCATGGTCTCCCTTCACCTCACTACTAGACTGTAGTTTCCTTTAAGTAACAAGGTTATGCAGGATTTCTGAATTTCAAAACACTACATCTAAGTACAGAGCCCAGCACTAGGCTTCTCACTCTGACTCTCCCATTTCGCAGCTGCACTGCAATGCAGAAATCCTCCAACTCCACGGAACACAAGGGCTTAAGTATTCCTTCTAGCAATCACTCCCAAATTAAGCTCCAAGTACAATGTGCCAGCAGGAACTATGAGAACAGTTTAAAAGCTCCTCTTTCAGTTCTCTAAAGTGGTTTTAGATTCAATTTTGTGCTCTGTGTTCTGCAGAGATGAGCTGTACAATATTATGTATGCACCGCATTAACTGTAAGAACAGAGGCTGAATTATAATACAAAGTCTAAAACAACAAGCATTTTGAAGTAAATCTACTGCTTGCAATAGTGCGGCTATCCCCACACCTGAAGGGCACTACAGATCTATTTTAATTACTGTGGTGCTTCCACCAGGCAAAGTCATCAGAGAAGACAATACCAGACCTTACCTTGCCACCATGGTAGCATATTTGATGGGGGAAACCCAGTAAGACTAACTCTTTCCTGCAATACAACAATCTAAATAGTGTTAGCTCTATGCTGTTGATATTCTCTTACCACTATGTGACAACTTCAGGATTGCTTAGTTTTACCTGATATCCAGGACTGGATGAACCCATGAATGCAAGTTGTTCCATGCAGCAATTCCTATGAAAGTGGACCAAGTGAAAAGGGTTCCTAAATTAGGTTCTTACAAACACATGAGAAGGTACAATATCCCACCACAAGAAGTCTGAGGCTCT